GCTGCATGGGCTGTGCTTGCTCCCAGGGAAGTCCTGCTGTTCTACCTGTGGTAGATCAGGTTTGATGCTTTTGTACCCATGGTAAGAGGAGAGGATCCCAGCCCTTGGAGGGAAAGGTGTAACACACAGCAGGGGAGCCTGCCCCATGATCTGGTCTGCTGTGGAGAAGTCACAGGCTCAGTGAAAGTGTGTTCTCGTTCTAAAGGTGTCATCTGCACCTACAAACTGCATCTAACAGAGCTGATGTAAAAAGCTGGGCCTGTTCGGGGATAAACCCAGAGCTTAGTACCCTTGCTTGTAAGCCAGAGACATTAAAGATTTAAAACACTGCATAATGAGACTTAGTTCCCTGAAACATCGCTTTCCTGCACAGAATCCCAGCATTTTCCACCTGTGCCCTGGTTCATTGTGACGTTGGTCACATAGCTACCTTGTGCAGCATGTTTCCGATGCCAGCACCTCAGAGGCATTTGTATTAACCCTTTGGGAGTCACACTACAATAAGCAAACAAGCCTGTGCTTTCTTGCTGGTACAAGCTTTGTGCAGTGTTGTCCCTCAGCATTTCATTTTCAGAGATGCCTTTGGGTTTTGTTGTTGAATTTTTTTTTTTTTTTTTTTTTAATAGCATGCAGGAGTCTATTTTAGCCCAGGTGCAGAGGGTCATTAAAGGAGAAGTAAGCCTGGCTATGAAGGAGCAGCAAGCAGCTGTCACCTCGAGCATCGTCCAGGCCATGCGCTCAGCGGCCGGGACTCCAATCCCCTCTGCTCACTTGGATTTCCAGTCTCAGCAAACTCACATACTTCAGCTGCTCCAACAGGGACACCTCAACCAAGCTTTCCAGCAGGTACCTGGGCTTCCTGGCAGTGAGCATCGCTGCTTGTTGGGGGATGGAGGGGGGGGGGGGAAAGGGTTTACTGGAGGTGGGGACAGAATCCCGCAACAATTTATACAGGAGTTGACCAAAGAGACCCGTGGCAGCTTGAGGGCTGCAGTTGCACTCTCATGGAGGTCGAGCCAGAGCTGTGCAAGTTCCATGATTTGATGGCAGTTAAGTTCCCTCTTCCCTGCCCGTGCCCCACCAGGACAGCGTCAGCGCTCCAGTGAGCCAGAGTGTTTTGCCATCAGCGATGGCACATGGTGAGCAGCAGCTTCGTAAGCCTCTCCAGGCAGATCTACCAGCTGGGGCCTGACCTTGCCTTTGCCTTTGAATATGTAAGCAGATCTGTTGGAGCTGCTGCAGAAAAACTCCTGTGAGAATAATAGCAATGCTATGCCAGTGGGCTGGCGGAGGATGCGAACGTGGCCCTGCTCCATGCTGCCAACTGTAACCTGCTCCCCTCTGGTTGTGATCCTTTCCACTTAAAATGGACACGAGGTGTTCTCTGAGCATAGACAGAGCCCAAACACGGTCCTGCTTGCATGTACAGCAGGGTTTGCAGAGAATTCTCCTCCCAGAGGAGGCTGAGGAGTCGTTGCGCTGCCCCAAGGCAGAGGGCTGTCTCTGCTCTGTCCTGTCCCCCTCCCCTGCCTGTTGGTTCCTCTGCATTTCTAGCTGTGTCTTCCTTGCAGGCTCTAACAGCAGCTGATCTCAACCTGGTTCTGTATGTCTGCGAGACTGTGGATACTCAGCAAGTATTTGGACAGCACCCATGCCCGCTGTCCCAGCCTGTGCTGCTGTCTCTCATTCAGCAGCTCTCCTCGGATTTGGGTACTCGTACGGAACTGAAGTTGAAGTGAGTATGATCAGAGTACCAGGTCTGAACCTGTGCAGACCTGTTCCTGGCTCTGGCTTTAAATTCACTGCTTGGAAGTGGAAGGTGGTGCTTCGAGGAAGGTTGGAGCTTCTGTAGCCTGTTACTGGCGTGTGAACAACCAGTAATGACTTGGAAAAAGATGTAGGCGTTGCTGTGGAAAGTTTTACTGCCCAGAGGTAGTAGTAGAAGGGGTAGCCAGCTGTAGGTGCTGTTACCTCCTGGATTGTAGTCCGTAAGTAAATGTGGGCTGTGCAGCAATCTCCTAACCAAGGAACAATTCCCCTGGGGAGGTGAAAGGAGGGATAGTGCCCTCTTTCCTGGGTAGCTCAATATTCAGAGCAGCTTTGCTCTGTCCTCAATTCTTAACCCATCGCTGGACTTTGTGTCAGCAGTTCCTTGTCGTGACTGCCAGACAGATTCAGTGGGAGGTGGCAGCAGGAGCTACTGGAATTAATGTCTGTTAGATGCTCTAAGTAAAACTCGTGTGACAAGATAGTGACTGTGCTGATAACTTGCCACGAACATTTTTAGTGAGTGAGTCAAAACCCTGTTATCTGCGCTAAAAAATTAACTTGTTAAGGTATCTGCAAGCTTTAACCCTGGCTTGTATGGAAAATGACTTAAATTGAGTTTTTAACTCAAGTTAGCAACAGGAGTGAAGCAAGCCAGAAAAACTGAAGAAGAGCTTTAAGCTACAGATGAGCTGGTAATATGAGTTAAAGTTGCTGCTGTTAAGTTCAGGCTGATCTGCTAGTGAAAACCTTTTGCATTGACCACGTTGCCCTACTCTCAGGCTGCAGGTTAAACAGTTATGGCTTGTCTGAACTTAAGAAAGGCTTGTTAGTAAAATTCTTGCTTTTCCACCCCGCCCTTCCTAGATAGACATATTGAAAGACAACCTTAAATCTATTCCTACATGAAATAAGCCTCACTGCTGAGGAGTTTTACTGTCTAATAAGTGACTAATTCTGCTGATGCTAAAAAGTCATCGAAGAAAATATCTACAGAGCTGTGACCAGGCGTGGCCAGGGGCCACCTCCAGCTCTGTAGGGAGTTCTGGCTTGCTGCTGTGCCTGCCTGGTTCAAGCAGCCAGGTTGTGTTGCACGAACTGGAGGCTGGAGGCTAGAGGCTGCCCTTCCGTGTCGAAGAAGGGATAGGTGGCCTCTGCTGTGAGTCAGTAGTGTTTCTTTTCTGATGGTTGAACATGCAGCACTGAGGTTGGGTGGGTGGGGGAGCAGAATTGTGCATCTTCAGTGCTAAAATGAACGGAATCAACTTGGGATCACACGCTGGGTTTGGTTCTAACCCTGGTCTCTCTCCTTTAGTTACCTGGAGGAAGCAGTGATGCACCTGGACCACAGTGACCCCATCACCCGTGATCACATGGGCTCAGTCATGAGCCAGGTGCGGCAGAAGCTCTTCCAGTTCCTCCAGGTGGAACCCCACAACACACTGAGCAAGCCTGCCCGTCGCCTCATGATCATGCTCCACGGGCTGGTCACCCCCAGCATGACCTAGGAGGACCTGGCTACCTTGTGGGCTGCTCCATGGAAGCCCACCCAGCAGATCCAGTAGTAGGCTTGTATTAAGAGCTCTTGCCAGGAAATCTATCAACATGTGTGTGATGTGTCTAAGGCAAACGCCATCTGTGTATAGTCCCAAATAGTCACTGAACGCTCACTTGACTTATTTTTCCTAAATAGCCTCTTTTTGAGAGAGTTAAGTCTCCTCTTCACCTGCCCATCCGTCCCTGAGGCCTGGCTGGCAGTCCAAGTCTCATCCAGCAGGAGCTGTTGGATTTGTTACCCCTTTAGTTCGGAGGCTGCTGCTGTGAGCAGAGGAGGGGGCTGCACGCTGAGCCCCGAGCAAGGGGGCAGCCGGGGCTACATGCTCCTAGTTGACCAGAAACTAGTACCCGTGTCTTAAAACTCCTCCTCCCTGGTAGGGTGAGTAGCTGGGAGGATGTCAGCCGAATAGGAAAGGAGGTTTCATTTAGCTCCAGCTCTGCCCTGCCATGGCCGTGGGGTGCCCAGCCCATCCACCCCGGGGCAGGCAGGTTTGGGGAGGGGGGCTGTGGGTGCACACCCCTGGGGTGACCTGAGGAGGTGCTCCGGGTGGGGATGGCCAGGCAGCGGCCAGCTGCGTGAGCCCTGGGGGGGCCATCGCTTCCCGTGGGTGTTGGAGCATGTCCATGGTTCAGATGTTTGTTTTGATTTTACACCAGGGTTTTTCTTTTTATCTAAATTTTGAATTTTTTTTTTTTGGGGGGGGGGGGGATGGGGTGGGAAATAACATTAAGAACAATTCAATAAACAACTTTTGGAGAAAAAAAAAAAAAAAAAAAAAATGTTTGTGTTGCCCGCACAGCCTTTTGGCCCCAGGCCTGGAGCGTGGCCCGGTGGGCTGATCTCAGGCTGGAGCCTGAGAAGCTGCGCTTCTTTTTCCCAACTCCCAGCCTCTGCCGGAGCCGGCGCAGGGCTCTTCCCATCCCGGGGGGGAAGCGGGAGCCTTCCTTCTCGCTGGCGGTGCTCCGCTGCCTGCGGGGAGGAGACGCTAATTCTCTTTTTTATTTTCCCAGCAAAAACGTCTCCGACCGCTTCTCCGCCTTCCGGGGCCGGGCGTGCGCTGGGGTCCAGCGCCGAGAGGGGCGGGGTTAGGGGCGGGGTTAGAGGCGTGGCCAGGGGGCGGAGGGGCGTGGCCAGCGCTGGCGGCGGCGGCTCGCGCGGCGGCGGCCCCGGGGTGGTCCCGTCCCCGCCATGGGCTGCGGCTGCTGGCGGCTGCTGGGCGTCGTGTGCCCGCTGCTCCTGCACCTCGGTGAGTGCCGCCGGGGCTGGGGGGCACCCGAAGCTGCGGGGAGCGGGGTTACCCCCAGGCTCAGCGATCCCCTTTCCTTGCGCCCCTCTCCCGCCGTCCTGCAGGGCCGGGGAAAGAGGGGAAGGGGCTTCGCAGCGCAGCCCCGGGGGGTCCCTTTGCGCCCCTCTCCCACCGTCCTGCAGGGCCGGGGAAAGGGGCTTCGCAGCGCAGCCCCGAGGGTCCCTTCGCGCCCCTCTCCCACCGTCCTGCAGGGCCGGGGAAAGAGGGGAAGGGGCTTCGCAGCGCAGCCCCGGGGGGTCCCTCTGCTCAAGCAGGGACGGCCCCGGGGCGGTTCCCCACGCCAGTTCCCCGCTGGTTCTGCCTCTCTGCCCTCCTTCACCCGGAGCGTGTCCTACCCGCTGGGGATCGGGGTCGTTTGGCAGCTCCTGCGCTTTATTGTGTGTTCCCCCCCCCCGCCCCTCCGCGCTCTCCCGCTCCTCCCCGAGCCGGGGGAGGTCGCGGTCCTGCTCCGGGCACGGCGGGCCCCGCTGGCACCCCCGCGCCGGAGCGGGGCTCCGGGGGCTGCTCAGGGTGGGGACTGCCAAGCCTGGGGCGGTTTTTCAGGCTCGGAGGGTGGGTGTTTCGAACCCTTCCCCAGAAGCAGGTTGGCTTGGGGACCAGCGGTGCCCTGCAGCTCCCTCCCAGCGTTTCTCTCCCTGCCAGAGCCGAGGGCAGGGTTTTCCCACGCGGGGGTAGCAGAGACGATTTGGTTTCTTCTTCCTCGCCTGCCCAGCCGAGGCAACTGGGTGGAGAGGGAGAGCTTGTGCTGGGCGTTAGAGGAACCCAGGAGGCCAAAACCCAGCCTGCAACAGGGACCCACCGGCCGAGGGAAGGCACGGGCTGACCCTACCAGCCAGGGTGTCCCTGGGCTGGCGGGAGACACACTTGTTGCCCGTCTGGGTGGAAAGAGGAACAACAGATCGCGCTTTCTTTATTGATACCTGTGCTGTTTGTGGCTGGCAGCAAGCCGAGACTTTCCTTGGTGATGCGCTCGGGGGGTTTCTCATCCCAAACACCCGCTGTGCTCTTGGACGGGCTGAGGTTTCAGGCTCACGCCGGTGTTAGTCTCGGCCACAGCCGCTTTGCTCAGGGCCTTGTTCCAGGGGCACGTGCGTGGGATGCCAGCAGCACAGCACAGGGCTCTCTGGAAACACCCTGGCTGCCTCAGCACCCACCAGCCAACTTTCGGCTGCTTCTTGGGGTCACCTTCCCACAGGGAAGACTGTCCTCACACCTTTTTAGCATCCTCAGCTTAGAGACCTTCCAGGCGCGCACCCACAGCGCTTCCAAAAGTCCCCGCACCTCCCGTGATGTGACCCAGGGAACCCGAATCTGTCTGGCTCTTTTGGGGCTTCCCCCCGGCTGTGGATGCACTCACCGTTGTCCCCTGTCACCCACTGTCCTGTTCAGCCAGTCCCTCGTGGAGCAGAGCAGGGAACTGGGGCTTCCTAAGGTGAAGCAGCCAGAGTGGCACTTGTACCTCTCCCTTTCGTGTTTTCCTTTTTTTTCCCCTTCCCTTTCCCCTTCCTCTTCCCAGGATGAAGCAGCCAGAGTTGCACTTGTACCTCTTCCTTTTGTGTTTTCTTTTTTTTTTCCCCTTCCCTTTCCCCTTCCTCTTCCCATTCCGCTTTCCCTTTCCCCTTCTCTCCCACTGCTGTAGTAGCCGGGACTCCAGCTCGCCAAGCCTTTGCTTTTGTTTTTGTTTCTGTTTTTCTGTTGTAGTCACAAATTAATCTTTGCTGTTAGGGGATAAAAGCCAGGACAGATGGCTCCGGGGAGAGCCCGGGAAGCCCGAGGCGAAGCGGCCGGCACGCCGCTCTTCCCCTGCGCCTAATGGCAGCATCGCTTGAGGGGTCATCACGTTGGACCCACGTCGGGCTCCCAGGCCCAGCACCAAGGTTCACTCCGAGTGCCGGGGGAGAGGATGCCGTGGGGTCTGGCAGGGGGTGGAAGGGGGTGCCAGCCCTTCGCCGCGTTTCGGAGCCCGGTGTCACCCCCACCCAGTGACACCCGCAGCCCCGGAGCCGGGTGGGCAGTGGCTGTCGGGGCAGGGCCGCGGGGGCTCAGCTCTGTCTCTCCTCTCCCCCGCAGCCACGAGCCAGGAGCCCATCAGCATGGCGGGGAAGTGCGACACCATCTACAAGGGCTTTGCCGGCTGCCTCCTCAGCCTGGGGGAGAGCATGACCCAGAGCGTCCGGCAGCAGCGGGAGGAAGGCAGCGAGGAGGCGCAGGAGCTGGACACCATCTGCAAGTGAGTGTCCCCATCCCCGTGGGAGCTGCCGGGTGACCTCCCACCAGCAGTGTGTGTCGTCCACACACCACCCCCCCCCGCCCCAATTCCTTCCCGTCTCCCCAGGTTCTGGGATGACTTCCACGCCTGCGCCAGCGAGGTGCTGTCGAGCTGCCCTGAGGAAGCAGCCGCCATCTGGGAGTCGCTGCGTCAGGAATCCCGCAAGATCCAGTTCCAGGGGAACCTGCAGGAGCTGTGCAGTGCCCGGGGACGCCTGGCCAGCGCCCACGGCTCGCCGGCCGCCGAAACCAACCAGGCCACGCTGCGGGGCTCGGCCACCCCCCTGCGCCCCTGCCTCCTGGCACTGCTGGCCCTGTCGCTGCTGGTGCCCTGGCTCTAGCCCTGCTTGCCCGCGGGTGCCCGGTGCTGGCCGGGCACAGGCACCCATGGTCCCTGCCGAGCCCACCTCCCCACCCCGAGCATCCCTCGCGGGGCACAGTCCTCTCCTGCAGCCCTTCAGATGGATCTATATTTATATTAAAAGACACTTTTACATTTCTCCTGTCTCTGCCACGGGATGCCCCCTCGCGCCCTTCCCATGTCCCGGGTTTGCCCCGGGGAGTGGAGGGGAGGTGCTCCTCGGACCAGCCCCCAGGGAGGGTCACCGGGGGGGGGGGGTAAGATCTGTGGCTCTGTCCCCCCGGCACATTGCCCACAGCCAAGCCACACAGCCCACGGGACCGCAGCGGTCCCAGGGAGAGCTGTACCGGGGATTCCCACCACCCTGCTGTTCCCTGACAGCTGCTTTTCAGGGCCAGGCAGAAAGGATATTCCCTTTAGAGATGGGTCGAATGGTTTCTTTGTTTTAAAGGGCATCTTAGGAAAACACAGTGTGTGTATGTCTCTTTTTTTCTTTTCAGCAGCCGATAGCTTGTCCCCTGGTGGGCAACTTCAGCGGCATCAGACAATTTTCTGAAAGAAAACCTATTTTCCATCCCTTTTAGTTTAGTCCTACTCCACTCAGTTCTATCAGTGGTCATGAAAGAAATTGGGGTTTGAAGGGAAGAGGTTTTTGGGGTTTTTTTTAGCCAAGATGGTATAGGTGAAAAAAAGAGGGAACTGAAGCTTTCATCCAGGCCCAAGTGAGACGGTCTGAAGTTAAACTAAGTTGATGTGCTGGAGTTTAACTTGGTTAAACTTGTGTCTATCAGTGGAAGATGCTATTATTCCCATCCCTGTTGCTGTTACACTGCAAATCCCAGATTTTTCTTTCCTGGCATACTCAAACCCATCGTGGCAAACCAGTTCCCCTCACTATGGGTTGGCAAAGCAACCAGCCCGCTCACCAGGGACCAGCCATCCTCCTCCCGCCCCCGCCACCTAAAGGGACATTAAAATTGCAAATGGGCCACCCCACCTATTGCACAGCTCAACGGCTCCTCCTCGCTGGCGCAGCGGGTAGATCTGGCTGGGATGAGGGAAACCATCCTGCTCAGTAAAGGCAGCGGCACCCTGATTGCCAAAATCCCCCGGCCGGCGCGAGTGCCACCCACGCCATGGACTGCATGAGGCTCAGCTTCAAGCAGGAGTGATGAGAAAAGCAGCTACGTGCCATGAGTAGCAGTTTCTTTGACTCCCAGGGTGGCTTCAAGGCTGTCCCAAAACCATTCATGCTGAACGATCGTGATTTTGGTCTGGGGAGGCCTTTGCACGCTGGCCTGTGTCTGAAAGCCTTCGGCGTGTAAGCAAGAAGCTTAATTACCGCTGTCCTCATTGAGTCAGGGTAAATTATTTCTTGTTTCATCGCAAAACTTCTTCCTGCGAGGTCTGGTCACTTCAACATGGGATCCCTGACCTTGGGGGTGTCACCCGGGCTGCCCCGGTCTCCTGCCGGCACGCGGGGCTGGGAAACGCTGCCTCGATCGTTGTGCCATGGTGCATCCCAGGGGGCTGGTGATCCCTCAGCTTTACGGGGCGACCCTGTATTTATTTCATGTTATTTATGTCATTAACCAGCTGGGAGCTGGCTGGGGCAGGGGACGCAAAACATCGCACGGGGAGGAGCGATGATGGGCTGCCGCTCCCCGTGTTTAACGCTGGCACCAGGGGGATAATCTGGCAATTTTTTCCTCTCCGCTTCCTGACAATCCTGTGTTTAAGGATGAATTAGTGCGGGGTGCCTGCAGGGTGGCTAAGAGGATAAAACGCCAGCCAGGCGCCGGCCACGCCGGCACCCATGGCCCCGCCGGGCTTGCCGCCAGCGGCCGCTCCCCATCGTCCTGCCGCGGGGCAGTGAGAGGTGGCCGGGGAGCTGGAGGGCTGTCACCGCGATGGTGACACCGGCGCGCACCGAACCACGCCGCTCTGATCCAGCCGGGAGCTCGTGGGTGCCTGGGAAGACCTGCAGACACCCACCAAACGCTCAGGGTGTTTGATCCCGCGTGCAGAAAGACGCGCCGCACGTGTGCCCTGCCCTGGCAGGTGTCACTGTGCGAGGAACTGGAGGAGTTAACAGCTCAAACGTTCACTGAAACAGAAAGCCTCGAGGACAAGTTGTGGCCTTTCTGATTAGTCTAAGGAACGCTGCCCAAGGAAGCGGAGTGTATCGAAGGGTGCACGGCTTCACTCCCTTGCCGTTGTATTGCCAAACTCCTTAGATAAACCCCAAAGTGGGGGAGATGGACTGAGTGAAACCAGATGTCGGGTTAATGCCTACACTTTAAGTTATGGCTGTACCCTTGAAGAAGGGCTAAAAAGACTGATAAGCTAAAGGCTGGACAATAACCCAAGAGGCAAAAACTGAGGAAGAAGTAAAGGTGGTGGTGGGGAGCACGACCACCCACGCAGTTGGACGAGGGGGTTGGTGCACCCCATCCCCCCTCAACGCACACACAGAACCCATGATCCACCTTTCCCTCGTCTCTCATGGAAATGCGTTTGTGGAATACCTGCCCCTCTGGGTCTAGCATGCAAATCCCCTGAGAAGACGCACTTAAAAGGTGACAGAAAACTTTGCTGGGTGTGCACCCACCACCCAAGATTACCGGACTCTACAACAGCACAGGATCCAAGGGTGGTGATTCCCCCCTTCTTATCCCCTCCTTTTCTCTCTTCTCCTTCCTCCTCCTGCTCTCTCTCTTTCTTCTTGCATATATTCAGGTATGTGAGTTTTGTACAAATTGTGACGGGTTGTTAGGAAAATAGTCTCATCACCAGGGTGCTTTTGTTTGTTTGCAGAAGGTTATCAATTGATCATTGCCACGTTGTCTCCATTCACTCACTAAAACTGTCAGTTAATAAGTTACCAGCTGAATCCTTCCTCTGAGTCACTGTCGTGACTCGACGCGGAGACCGGATTGTCCTCCCCAGTACTCGATTGTCGGGGAATTCAAAAGATTCCCCCCCCTCGTAGCCCCCCAACTTGGGACAAGACACACCCCACGTGTCCCACACCCTTGGCTCTGTCACCACGTGTCCTGCACACCCACGCATGTCACCACACGTGGGCCCTACCCTTGGCTATGCTGCCACGTGTGTCCTGCAGCTGGAAGGTCTCACCGTACGTGACACCAGAGGATGTCACCCCACAACTTGTAGCACTGATGGCTCTGGGGGTGCCTGTGGGTCCCTGTTGCTCAGTGACACGCCGCGGGGCAAGGGTCCACGGCAGAGCACTGCCCTAAACCCACTGTCACCGTGTCACCCCTGATCCTCCTTCCAGGAGGTGCCCTCACGGCCGGGGGCAGCAGTGTGACGGCAAGGAGGGGCACGCCAACCCCTGCGTGAGCTCTCCGGGTGCTCCAAAATCAGGACAAGCAGCCGGTGTCCATGCTCCTGTTGGGTTCGAGGGTTTGGGACAGTCGTGTGGCCGTGTCCTGCCGTGGGAAGGGACAACATCCTCCTTTCTGTCCCCGGAACCGAGCAGCTGATTCCCTCCGTGCTGGTCAGGATCTTAAAGCAACTGCCTGGGCTGAAACCTGTGGTCGCTGGGCGGGGGGTCGGGGACCAGTGGCCCCTGGCACTGGGCACCTCCGAGCACCCGGTGCACTGTGAAAACCCATCGCTCCGGTTATGAAACTCCGGTGACCTACTTTTCACTCCCCGCTTTTGTTCTTAATTCCCAGATATGGCCGCCCTCCAGATTTTGCCCATCAAGGCAAATTAATTGGAGTAGATCCTAATTTGCTCTCTGCTATTCTTTGGGCAGAAGATTAAATGCTCTGCAGACATTATCTCCCTCTCTCTTTTCTACGAGACAAACCTGAATTATTAAAAAAAAAAAAAAAGGGATAAAGGAAGACTGGGTTAAGTTGCCTTGATGTTTGAATTCACTTTTTGGAATCGCAGAAGGGGCTGGGGAGGCCCCCGCTCTCCCAGGCAGCTGTAAGCAGATGGTGACACTATTCGGGGCAGCTGTGTGAGTGGGACGGCACATGTGGCACGGCGACACGAGGACCAACCTCCCGGCCATGCTGCCTGCCACTTCTGCCACACGATGGCTGAATCCTCTGTTCCTTTTCCTGGGGAAATTCCTCCTGGCGAAGGTGCCGGCCAGGGAACGGCTCCCTGTCTGTGGGGACACAATAGAATTTCTCCAACAGGAGGGGCTGAAGCTGTGCCGGGGCTACCAGTGGATGTGGGATGGCTCCTTGTCCTCCCACGGGCCCCAGTGCCGCTGTCCCAGTCTGGTGTCCCCGTGGAGGAGCACCCCAGCACGCCGGGGGGAGCAGGAGCGTTGGGAGCCCTGTGTAGCTTGGAGGACACTATGTCGCAGGGCTGGCCGCCCTCCGAGCTCGCGTGGGGATTTCTGCCGAGCCAAATGTCCAACTTTCCACAAGGAAATGCCAAAAGGCAACCTCAATCCCCGCGGATCAGACGCAGGGGGAACGGCTGAGCCGGAGTCACCTCTGCCGCCGGAGCCACGCTCAGCCCTCAGCCTGGCACCCCATCTCTGCTCAGCTTTGGGGCTTTTTTTTCTCCAGAGAGGCATATGGAAAGTTGGATTTCTTTTTTTAAGCAGCTTTAATTGAACATCCTCCCCCTCTGACCTTTGCTCAGCCTTGCCGGGACAACCTTGAGCTCTGGCCCAGCACGGCCGCTGACACTCAGGCTCACCGCCGCGCGGGGCTGGGATGTGGCTCAGAGGAAATCCAGCTTGCCTACTGTTATAAATGAATGAAGCCAATCTTTATAAAAAATATATCATTTTATTTGGGTTCAGTCAATTCAGGGTGAGAAGCAATAGGCAAAGCAGCGCTGGGGGCGCGGAGAGCCTCAGCTCTGCCACGACGCACCCCGAGTTCTAAAAGCAGTGTCTCTTAGACTCTTTCCATCACATAGTCGTCCTGCTCTTCTTCCATGGGGTCCTTTGAAGCGCTGGGGTAGTGTCCTCCTCCCAGGGGATCTTTTGGAAGTTTGAAGGTTTCCACCTCTTGGCATGCTTTCTTCTCATCGGGTCCTTTAAAAGTCTCAGGGTCTCAGCTTTCAGCAGGCTTTTTCTAAACAGCTGTTGTCTCAGCTCTAGGGGGGGTGTTAAGGAGTGTTTCTAAAAGGCAGCAGTGCTTACAGTGTTTCAAGTTAAAGGTTACATTTTCTTCTTGTTCTCACACATTCTCAATTTGATTCTGACATTCACTACAATTGCTATACATGCCATAGTGATCACAACTCACCCTGGATCAACACAGGGTACAATAGTTACACTTATCACACCACATCTTGACACGAATCATGCCTATGTTCCCCACACGACTGCACTGTGCTTCCATTTGGTGGCAGATGAGGGACCCCCGTTGCCTTTGGATGGTGCAAGGGGAGCTCCGGAGGTGTATTGACCAAGCCCCAGCTCCAAGCAGGGTGTACGCTGGTGCTGGAGCAGGTTGCTCCAGGCTCTGGTGGAGCTCTGCATCTCCAAGGAGGGGGGATTCTCCACCTCTCTGGGTACCCGGCATCGCTCCGATGGTCCCAGCCTGCCTTCAGCAGCTTCTGCAAGAGAAGCTGTGAGGAAGCCACTGACAGGAGATGCAAAACCCTAAGGGGAACCCATCCTTGCAGAGGGATCCTCCCAGGAGGGAACAGTCAGGCTGCAGGGCCACCTCTGCTACTGCTGCTGCTTCTTTGGAGAGATCCCTGCCTTGATGCGCTGAATCCTTCCCACGGTGCCGGAGACTGGCTGCGGGTCTTGGGGGGTAAGAGTTGGCGGGGGAATTTCTGAAGGGGCAAGTAAGGAGGAGGAGGGTGAGGCTCCTCGCTTGGGAGAGCAGCACCTCGGGAGGGAGGAGGTAGAACCAGGTGAAAGTCAATCAAGCAACAAGATGACAGCCCGTTTGGCAGCAAAACCAAGCTGTTAGACCGTGCCTAAATACAGCAGTGCTGTATGAGCATACCAAACCCCTGTTATCAGTTCTGTCTTGTAGGAGGGATTAAAAAAAACAGCCGGAGCAGTGGAGCCCAGACACCCAGAATCTCTGGGCTTCCGCAGCCCACCGGCAGCCAGATGCTTCTGGTCGTAAAACTTCTTGCTGTAGCTGGAGAAATGACTCTCAGCTGAGTACCAGGTTGCAAGGGGTTAACTGCTACTGACCCCCAAACTCAAAACGGGTGCCCAAACTGGCAGGTAGCGGGTCACGTAGCTGAGAGGACAGCTCCCCAGGATCCCTGCCCGCTCCCAAGCTCCGTCACAGGTTTCACGCTTCCCCCCAGAGCTGCTGCAGCGAGCCGCGGGCCCGTCCCGGCCTCGGCCCTGGGCAGGCTGCGGGGCGGAGACGTTGGCGTCGCGGGGATGTCTGGTGCGACGTTCCCTTGGCTCCGGTGGGTCCCAGAGCACTACCGTGGCATAAATAATACAACAGAGAGCCGCCCTGATTGAAGTTCTCAGAAGTCCGTGGTTCTGGCCCAAGAGTTCGATTCGTGTTGGCTCTTCGGCAGTTTTGCCCTGACAATTAACAGCGGTGATGGGCCCGTAACTGCCTCATTTTCTCATGAGCAGGCCGGGAAACCAAGCTGTGAGGAAGTGACTAATGGAAGAGGCAAAACCCTGAGGGAAACCCTTCCTTGCAGAAGAGTTATCCCTGTCTGAGGAGCTGTGGCCAAGGCGAGGCAGCCCAGTGCCGTACGCCCACCCGCAGCAACCGGGCTGACGGGAAGAGGCGCACGCTTTTTAATTTGCTGGTGGCACCAAGCTGCAATGACCTTGGGAAACAGCCTAAATGATGGGATCAGCTTTAACAGGGACACGTGCGAAGTTTTACGTGACAGGCACAGGCTGAGCCACCTCCCAGGGACAGGGCAGGGGGACGTGTGGCTGGGGAAACATCTCCGGAAAGAAAATGGGGGAGTTATAGGGCTGAAAATGTACCAGCAGCACCACTGCTGTGTGGGAAAACAAGAACAGGCTGATTTCCCTTGAAGGAAACTGTACAGCTCACTGGGTCGGCCACGTACAGTCCAAGCAGCCCCTTCTCAGACCTGTCACTCGTGATGGTTCCGCACCATATCTGGAATTGCGTGGAAAAGAAGGTGATGACAATAGCGTGCATCAGCAGGTATAACTTCTATTACAGTATGACTTACTAAGCATTTTAAACAGCCAAAGAGCCCGGGAGTATTAACATAAAACAAGCTATTTTTAAAAAGCATGGTAGGAGTGTGAAAATAGCCCCTCTCCACCTGAACCGCATCGGGAATGACGCAGCAGCCAGGCTGGAAAACAAGCCTGGCCGTGTCGCGTTTGTCTCTTCCCCAGAGAAAGAAGTGCCACCAGCATCTCTGCGAAGAAGGTGTCATCCCCTCATCCCGCTGCTTTCCAGTCATCTAGGGCTGAAACGTGGAGCGTTTGGTTTAAGGATGGGGAAAGGGTGTGAGGAAGAAAGTCCACCAGCAGTTACCAAGCAAGCTTTGTGGGTTTTGTGGCACTTAGTAGCTGGGGGAAAGAAAAGCGAGAGGAATGTGCCTCGTTATTCTGTTGTGCACAAGAGCTCACCCACAGGGACCGGGTTTTCCTGCCAAGGAGAAGGGACGATGTTTCCGGGCGATTTTCTTGCAAAGGGGATGTTTTCCCAGAGCCCCGCAGCCCCGCGGGGAGCCGTCGGAGCCCCTCGGGGGGAGCAGCTCTCCCGGGGGGCTGCCGGGCACCCGGCCGGGCTGGGTTTGGCTCCGGAAAGGGGGCGAGGAGTCGCCCCTCCCCGGGCAGGGGGTCACCGTGACCGCCCCTCGGAGGCGAGGCGGGGGGCGGGAACGCCGGGACTGTCGGGGGGGCCGCCTGCGCAGACCCGCGGGGCTGAGAGGGGTCCCACCCTTTGTGGGGCCAAGTGGGGTCCTGGAGCCCGCGGGCCTGGCGGGGATCCCGGGGTCCGTGGGGCTGTGGGGGGGGTCCTGGGGTCCGTGGGGCTGGGGGGGGGGCCCGGGATCCGTGGGGCTGTCGGGGTCCGTGGGGCTGTGGGGGGTCCCGGGGTCCGTGGGGCTGGGGGGAGGTCCTGGGGTCCGTGGGGCTGGGGGGGGTACAGGGGTCCGTGGGGGTGGTGGGGGGGGGCGGGGCTGGAGTCCAGGCGGACCCCGGGGCGGGTGTTCCCGGCGGCCCCAGCAGGGGGCGCTAGAGCGCGGGACGCGCTACCTCCGGGCCCCGCCCACCGCCGCCTCCGCCAATCGCCGCGGGCGCGCAGTTCCGCCCCCCCCCGCCCACCCGCCTCCCGCCCCACCCACCCCGCGTCCCCGGCGCTCGGGGATGACGTCAGGAGGCGGCGCCGAGCCGCGGGTCGGAGCGGGTCGAGGTGAGTTCGGGACCGGCCGCCCCCCCGCCCCGCTCCGCCCTCCCCCGCCCTCCCGCTCCCCTCCCGGGGCGGCGGCGGCTCGGCCTTGCGGCCCGGGGAAACGCGGGCGCGGCGGGCCCCGGGGCTTCAGCCCCGCCACTACCCGGGGCGCTGGGCCGCGGGTACGGGCGGGCCGGGAGCCCTGACCCCCCCCCCCCCGGAACCTCCCCTCCCCTCACCGGCCGCCGTGCTTCCTAGGCCTGCAGCCCACCCAGCCGCGGGACGCGCTGCCGGCGCCGGCCCTGCGTCCCCAAACTGAGAAGGGTGCGGGAAAGACTTGTCGAGGTCGGGCTGAGTTACGGAAAACGATCAGAGCTTTGGAAATCCCGGTTGGTTCGACCGGTTCTGGCCCCAGCCCCGGGTTTCCCCTCAGGAACCCACCAAAGGCGTCCTCGGCCAGCCCGGTGGCTGGCGGTGCCAGGTCGGTGTCAGGCAGTGAGAGACACGTTTGAGATTTATTAGTAAAACTAAAGGTAAGGTGCTTTCAGAAGTGCTGCGTTGGCACAGGTGTGGTTTGAAGGCTGCAGGGTGTGAGCATTTCTTAACGCAGTTAAGAGCTGGTGTCTTCAAATTTCCTTACTGGCAACTCTCAGAAAAGCGAAATTAAATAGTTTCAAGTTGTGAGAGACTTAATGGGTGGTGGGAGGCCTGCTAGGCCTCGGGTGGGCTGGGCAGGTGGCTGACACCCCTCATCCAGAGGGACACCCTCAGGTGTTAAACCATTAAGGCCCTGATGTTTTCGGAGAGGTGGAGGGTGCTTCTGAATCAGCAAGAGCTGAGGTGTTGCCCTGCTGAGCCGCTGGATGTCCAAGGAGAGAAGCGTGTAGACATTGAAGCATAAACCCCACATTCCTTCTCGTCACCACCACGGCTCGGGCGTGCTGTCCTCTCTTAAATAGTTTGGCACCTGCTGAGTACGTGATTCCCTGCTCTGAGGGGGCTTGTAATGCCCCTTTTCTCTAGTGCCTCGCTTTCCTTCTCCCAAACTCTTGGTGATTATTCCTCAGGAGCATTTCCACCTGCACTGACACGGGGTCAGGCACTTTGTTGCTGTCCGTGGTGTGCAGCTCAGGTTGTGTAGGCTCCACCCAGACCCTTCTGCCTACAAGGAGGAGCCACTGACGTCCTGGTAGTTGATGCCAGGTCTCAGTTAATGTTATCAGTGGATTTATAAATGACATTTTCAAGCGCAGCGTTTGGCCCTTCTCATGGGTTTTGTTTACAGGTGGGGCATTTTACACAACTGCTTCTCTCTGTGTGGAGTTATTCTGTTTGTGGGTGCTCTCATTCCATTTCTCTGTTAATATGTTTTAAGGTACAATAATGCTGGGAAAAACTCTGTGGGAAGCATGCAGGACTAGCTACAGTATTTTATTTATTTTTTGTCATGGTACTTTAATCTGAATGAACACCCAGTTACAGGATAGCCCTTGGTGAAAGTCAGTTAAGCTTTCTGTGAAGTTGTTTTTTATTTTTACTGCTTGCACCTTAGTACAGGCGTTTTTGTGCATGGTTGGTGTGCTTGACTGCGGTACTGCCAGGAGGTGTCTTCCGTGAGAGGTTACTTTGATGAGGTCTGATTTTAAAATGGAACCTTAACTAAAGCCTTGTTTTCTTTCCAGATTGGAGGTAGAGTCTAAACCTCTTCCAGGTGTCCCTCTAAAACATTTATTTCTCCATGTAATTCTCCTGATGGAAGACCAGCCGGGGTTCCCGTTCTGCAGTTTGTGCTGAATATTTGCTTGGAGGGGTGGTGAATGAGTGAAGATACATTTGGTGATGGTAAGGCGTACGATTACGTTTCAAGGCTGACAGCTTTTCTGTAGCCTTCTGTGAAGGCTCAGGCACCGTATTGATGGGCTCTGAGCCGAAGAGTAGAAATTTAAAACTGCTTGGCTAACTGCCAGAGCACATACAGGCGGTTTCTCCATCTCCTAGCCAGTTGTACTCTTTTAACCTAAAGACTTGCTGAAGTGCAGCTGATTTGGTTCTGCTGGAATACAGTGTGATGGTCAAGATTTCCCTTTGCTCTAGTCTGGAACAGCTGGTAGAAATTCCACTTGCTACACGTACCTCCGTATGGAAGAGCAGAAGTGCCACTTGGTAGCTGAAGATGCAAGAGAAAGCAAAGCTGAATCGGGATGTTAAAATATGTCAAAGCCCATCTTGATTTCTTGGGGTTTGGAGGGTGAGGGAATTGCTAGCCAAAAGCTGCTCTGGTTAAACAAGGGCTGCCTTTCTGCAGGTGATGCAGTGAGGTAGTTGGTACAATGCATCTTAAAAACAGCGTGCCTCTTTCTCCGTATTCCCTGCCTCCTGTGCAGTTTCACTGATCCCCAGGAGCACTGCAGTGAGAGGTTTAAGACACTGGTACAACTTCAATATAAAGAAAATCCTATGAAGATTTGTTAAATGAACAAGTTGCTGAGATACTTTGTGGAGTTTCTAGTGAGAAATTTCAAAATGGTAAGATTTGGAGTGGCTGCTGTTTTATGAATTGAGCAGATTAAACAAAATTAAGGAAAATGCTTGATTCTCTCCTTAATTTGATTTTTATTAAGCAATTGGGGCTGGACAAGATGACCTCCAGAAGTCTCTTCCAATCTCAGCCATTCTGTGACTCTGTGATTCAGCGCTCAGCTGAGAGCATTAAACAAGCTGTGCTTAATAAAGAGAGATACTGTTTGATTTCTGCAGACATCTGCTCTGGCCGTGGCTGTGTTTCTGTAGGTACTATCTTCACCAGCTCGTGACGGAAGCAGCAAAGCACTGTGCATGCTCTGTAGTATAGTACAGTGAAAATCCCAAATTCTTAGTTTGTGGTAACGTGGCTCCATTGGGAGGCAAACCGCTTGCATTTGTTTTCCTGTTTGAAAGTTTGCTACCTAGATTCCTGTTTATCCGTTTCTTCTCGTCCTTTTCCTAAGGTTCAGATGTGGGAATTGCTCCGGATGTGGTTGCTGCTGATGCTGCCCTGGGAAAATGCCTTGATAGGGAATTAACACCATTCAGTGATGGGCTGTGGGACAAGCAAAGTGCTTCCCGAGCCCCCCAAAGATGTGCAGCTAGACCTGGTTAAAAAAGTCGAGCCTTACACAGGCCACAACGACATATACAAGCATTTCATCAAAGATGACTGCGGGACTGTCATCAGAGCTGGCTCTCCCTCACCTCCCCGTCACGCTAACCCCTATCCCGGGACCCACCTGCCTGCCCACGTGGACCAGCCTGAGCCTCGCAAGAACAAAGTGGCTAAATACCGTGCCAAATTTGACCCCCGAGTGACAGCCAAGTATGACATTAAAGCCCTGATCGGGAGAGGGAGCTTTAGCCGCGTTGTGCGGGTGGAACACAAGGCTACCAAGCAGCCCTACGCAATCAAGATGATCGAGACCAAATACAGGGAGGGGAGGGAAGTGTGCGAGTCGGAGCTGAGTGTGCTGCGGCGCGTTCGGCACACCAATATCATCCAGCTTATTGAGGTGTTTGAGACCCAGGACCGGGTGTACATGGTGATGGAACTGGCCACGGGAGGAGAACTGTTTGATCGCATCATTGCTAAAGGTTCCTTCACCGAGAGGGATGCCACGCGTGTGCTGCAGATGGTGTTAGATGGTGTGAAGTACTTGCATACGCTGGGTATCACACACCGGGACTTAAAACCAGAGAACCTGCTGTACTACCATCCGGGAACAGATTCCAAAATCATGATCACAGACTTTGGACTGGCAAGCGCTCGGAAGAAGGGGGACGACTGCCTGATGAAAACCACGTGTGGGACCCCAGAGTACATTGCTCCTGAGATCCTGGTCAGGAAGCCGTACACGAACTCTGTGGACATGTGGGCGCTGGGTGTGATCTCGTACATTCTCCTGAGCGGCACTATGCCCTTTGAAGATGACAACCGCACCCGCTTGTACCGGCAGATCCTGAAGGGAAAATACAGTTACTCAGGCGAGGTGAGTGTGCCGAGGGTGGTGGGGAGGGGAAGTCAAACGTGAAGCTCTCCGAAGGTGGGTCTTTGTGATGGCCAGAAGCTGGCTGTCGTGTGCAGGGTGGTAACGTTGCCAGTGCTTAAAAAAAAAAAAAAAAAATGCGATTCTGGCTTTTAAACTCCTTTCCTGCTTTCCAAAACTGCTTCCAGTGCAGCATGGTGAGCTCCTCTAAAAAAACTGTAGCTAAAGAAGGGATCTCCTCCTCTAGAACACAACAGGAGGGATTGACAGAACTGGAATGCTTGTGGGTTTCTAGCTGGGGAGACCTCTGCCATGGTAAGCTGCTGTTTGATGTTTCAGTGTTGAAACTTGAGCCAGGGTGAGTGTTTGAAATGTAGCGTGTACATACCTAGTCTGATTTCTGATACAAATCCAAGTGTAGTCTGAAAAAATAGCTTTGCTGAAAAGCAAGGTTATGGCAGACAAAGGGGCGCTTGCTTCTTAAATCTGGAGATGTATTTCCAAAATTGGTCTGCATTGTCTCCTGAGCTTAGTGTGTGACAAAACTGAGGATTGAAGGATAGTTTTCTTAGGTAATCCCTTAGGTAACTATGGAAAGCGGAACTCTGGGGAATAGATTTTAGGCAGAAGATGGGTGCCCCTACCCTCCCAGAGTCCCGTCACTCCACCGAACAGCTGGGTGCCAGGCTGACACAGCTCCTGCTAACTTGCTTCTGGTCGTGGTGGGAGATCTGGGTTCCCAGCCAGCTCCTTTACCAGGACAATTGTCAAACGTAGGCATAACCTCACTAAAAATCACAGAAAGTGGGGATAACTAAATTTGCAAGTTGCATTTCTGCCTATATCCCTCACTGGAAATGTTTAAAAATGAAGCTTTTAGAACTTCTTCTCTCTTTAGTAAGAGAGGAGAGTGTTTAGATTCCTAAACGCCAATGACTTTGTGAGATGAAGCCCACTGGGAAAGTGATAATGAGTGGCCAAGTGTATGATTCTGAAATGATAGTATGATAACTGTCAAAAACCCAGAATAAATGAATGATTGTTTTCATATTTTTAGGTGTGACAGGTATGTTGGCACTTTAATGACGGATGAAAGAAGTCTAACATGTTAAGTTTTTAAGCATATTAAGCTGCTTTAGGATTGTGTTTTAAAAAAATTAAATCACTCTGAAGGGTTTTCAGAGGTGTCAGTCAGTCTTTTATACTTTAAAGCTTTCAGGCTGGCTTGTGTTAACAGTTGGAGTATCCAAGTTAAATGAAGCTGAGGAATATTGGCGTTTGCATTGGAGACCACCAAGGAGAGCCCAGATTTGGCATCTTTGTGAATCCTGTTAATTCTTGCTGTGAGCACTCCTCAAAGTCCCTGGTAGGGAGAGGAGCCACAAAAGCGAGGAGTCACAAACCTTCAGATTTGACACTTTCTGGACCAAGCGTGTTACTTCCTTCAGAAACTACAGTACTTGATTAGCTTCTTGCCAAAACTGTTTTATCAGCTGCTTCCTTGAACTCCAAGCTTCTGCTGACTTTGGCAGCCTTTACTTCTTTTGTTAACTTGCTGAGTTAATACGGTTTGTTAACCAGTTGCAGAGTTTTAAGAGTGCAATCGGGTTATCCTAATACAGAAATAGATTAATTACCAGCAGCATGTAACATCTGCAGGGTTGCACTGAAAGGCAAAGTCCTAGTTACCTAGTTTACCTTATAACCAGTGGTAGTAGCTATGTTAAATGATTTTTTTTTTTTATGTGAAAAGGCCAGTTCACTCTGATATTTGTTGCATAGTAGAAGTCATTTTGAGTGCGTGTACCTCCTCGTAGATTCTCAGTCAAACTGAGGTAGGTGCTGGCTTGGCTCAGCCTGGATGTTGGCCTCTAGATAGCAGAGGTCAGAGCTTTCTAGAGTCCTTGTCCAAACTCAGGTTTGGTCCTTTCTAGCTTGCTCCATTGTGTTTGTCTTGGCCATTCATTTTTCTCTTCTACTTCCAGTTCTTTTATTTTGAAGAAGCAGTGTGATGGTTTGGGGTTGGGTTTTGTGTGTTGTTTTTTTTTTGTGTGTGTGTGGTTTTTTTTTGTGTGGGTTTTTTTTTTGGTGAAAGTTCTCCCTTTTATTTTGCTTTACTAGTTCTGTGTTGGCCTGGTGCCAGAAGGTCAGTGAGGCCATTGTCTCTGAATTTGCTTTTTCCCCTTGGGACCTGCTTTTATTCTTAACCTCTAATATTCTGCAATTATGAGTTCCATAGTTTATTTACAAAACACATGGAAAAGGTGTTACCTTCTCTCGGTTTTTTATTTGCTTCTGCTCATTTAACAGGTATTTTTCTATATACCTCTCCTTAATCTCCATTAGGTGAGAAGCCATTGAATAACTTTTCCATGGCCACCTCTCAGTTATCTTTATACTGCTTTGGATTCCTTCCTTTTTGCGGGGGCTGAAGATCCATCTGTGCTTACTGCATCCTATGGAATATATTCCATAGATCTGATTTTTGCTGTTACCCTTCTCTAGGATACTTGTAATCTTTAGGATGGGATGATAGGTGAGCACCATGGCTTTGTGTTGGGGCGTCAAAAGGCCTCTCTGGTTGTTCACTACTTCTACCCCTAGAGTTTCTGATACTGGATTTATTTCTTTGACAACCTCTGAGCATGTCACTGATGATGGAGAGTGGTCCACTGTGACTCCAAGAGGTTTCCTGAATGTTAACAACTGATTTGGGGGTGCCAAGGAGTCCACATAATTTAGTGAATTCCCTCTAATGTCTTCAATCCTCAGTGCATGAACTTGTGTTTAGTGACGTTGAATTTTGTAACTCATTCAACTCTGTCACTTGATATTTTTACCTTTTTGCAGATTTTTTTTTTTAAGTAAGTTTAGCATGACATCCAGGACAGGGTTCTGCCCGTTACTGTGAAATGTGGTAATTCTGGAGTCTTAGAAGCAAGTGGTGGGATACAGGTTTGACACCTGATAAATGATGCTGACGACACTGAGCTGCTGAGGTTAAAAACAAAGCTGAGGAAGTAGTGAGAGACAGCATAATAAATTGACTGATGTTCAGGGTGAACAAACTTGATCTAGTCCCATGGGAAGACGAGCAGTTTGAATTTTCTGTAAGTGATGGTGGGCCCTGAAGGTGCTTGTTGTTCTTCAGAAGAAACAATCTGAGATTAAACACTTCTAAACATCATCTTGATACTCGTGATCAAAAGCCAGTTGATACTAGGAATTAGTGTTGCTGTTGTGGGTGTCCTTGCTGTCCCGTGCCTATCATATACCTGCACTTGAATGTTGAGTGCAGTTCTGTTTCCCCCTGGAAAAAAGATACAGAATTAAAAAGCATATGAGGGGCAGCGTGAATAATCAAAGGTATGGTCTGGCTTCCATTTGAAGAACAAATGAACAGAGTAGGGCCCTTACTCCAAAAAACTGAATGTTTGAGTAGGACCTCTGACCAAACTCAGTACAGCCCTTGGCAGAATAGGGAGAGGGAACAGTGAGCAACTGTTTTGAGCGTTCCCTGGGGTAATTTAATCTGATGTCCTCTGGTCCTTGTACCAGAACTGAATTATTTTGAGAAATTTTGTAACTTCATTGCGACTAGGGCCACTGGATGCTTGTAGGTTGTATACACAAAGGTAGCACATATCACAGAGAAAGCATTAGACTATATATTTTGAAAGTGTCAGTGCACAAGCCTGAAGCATTTTACTTGTTATCCCACCACAGATTGCATACTTAAGGAGGCCATTATGGATACTGTGTGCGACGTGAATGGTTGTTTTGAAAAGCTGTAGATGTTTTACTGCTTGGAAAGCAAATATATGTCGGCCAGTAGCCTGTATTTTTTGCCCAGATGCTTTCTGTTCTTCTAGAGCCAGGGAAAATGGATGCTTTAATTTACCAGTGTAATTAAGCCTATGCCCCTAAATTGCAGGCGTGTTTGACTGTGGCCAGGTATTGGCAGGAGTTGCAGTAACAGGCTGCCCACATTGTGAATAAATTCTAGGTGAAAACAAAGTGAGCTGAAGATTTAGAGGTGTCTGGCATGTTTCCCACAGTCTTGCCAGCTTTCTTAAAGCCATCTTCTGGACTTTCAAATGCTTCCAAATTTCTGGTGTTCACAGAAAATTGCACTCCTTTTTTTTGCATTATGCTGGAAGAAGTGGGAAAATGTCAGAAATGAGGCTGTTGATAAGTTCATCAGACTACTGGAAATGGCAGGAGCCGTAAGTTGTGGATTAATTGGAACAAGAACGGGCAGAATATTTGACTGTGGTGCAGAAAGTGTCTGTCTCAGATGCAGAAGCAGAGATTTCGTGGGAATGACTGCTTTTCGTCTCTGTAATGTGAAATTTGAAGATGTGAAGTGGAAGAGGAAATGTTAAAAGAAGCCTGTGAAGTAAAGTGGGCAGAGCTGACAGCTTGAGCTGCGTGGCTCAGACAGGTTTCCGTAGGGAAGGAGGGAGCTGTATTGCCATGCCGTGAGTTTGCCCCGAATCGGTGCAGAGTCCCACTTTTTGAAAGGTCTGGCCTCAAAACCCAGTCAGAGAGGACAAAGCTGTATTGAGAGAGGAATAAAAGCCAAGGTGCCACCCTGACCTGAGAAGTAGCTCCATCTTTTTGGAAAACAAGCGAGCTCGTGGCCAGCTAATGTAATTGCTTTCTGATTGGGACCCACTTACGGCCGCTCTCCTGTTCCTGGAGCGTGAGGTCTGTTTGAAGAGGCTGTTAGCAGATCAGTAGGAGAGGTCTCCCATAATAGGTTATTCAGGTGCTGCTGACATCACTGCTCTGATTATCTCTTGTATCTCCTTCTGTACTTTCTGAACCGCTTGGAGTAATGGGTAGGGTGAGGAATGAAGAAGAGCTGGCTTTGTAACTGGGCATGCTTTTTTTCTGAGCACCTCTGAGTAAGGGTTACGTGGGCTATTGAGACTGCATTTGAAGTAGCCTGCTACAAAGTCATTCTCTTTCACTTGTTCTGTTAGAGCTTACTAAAAAAG